TAACCCACCCCGCCGTCGCCCAAAACGGGCATGGCAATGAGGAAAAAAAATCCTAGCTTTCCTCCCCGTAACAAGGAAGGATACTTGCCTCCCATCTTAATATATCATCCCCCAAAAAAAGGAAAACAAAAACGACACTCTAACAAACAAACCAACAAAAATAGCACGAAAGGAGCAAATAAACGACCCAGAGGAAAGTTGTTAGCGAAGGCAGACTGGACCCTTAAAGCCGATGACACAGGTGTGGGCAGGTGCAAGCCAGGCAGACACACGGGTATCAAAGGAAGGGGTTTAACGAGGCCACAAATGCCCTTCCCGGACCGATAAGCCAGGCAGAAGGGCGGGTACGAGCAACCCCCCCCCCATTCCAGTCCCCAGCCGTCTCGTAGCTACACCAATAGGATAATGACGGAAAAACTGGTTCTGGGATTGTTTGGTTGGCGTTAATGAAGCCTAAAGAGTCTGAACTCAATTTGACTTAGCGACTCACTGGAGTAGTTTATAAAACACACAATGAAGAAAAAAATCCTTTATGATGTGTTAAAAAATCATTGTCAAATCTCCAGTACATACACACGTTTTTTTTCCAGATTTTCCTACTCGTGATAAACATCTCAATAACTACTACGACTACGACCAGCATCACTACGAAGTATTGGAAGTAGAGCAGAATGTGGTCAATGAGCCGTCTCTCTCCTACGACGCATAAGTATCCTCATCACGCGATATATCTTGAGAAGTTCTTCAGTAACTCACGTCCCGTTAAGTCTGTGGACATTACATTATAAAGGCAATTCGATGTAGGACCTAGTGGAAGGGAATGCCAGACAGAAGAGATTTGTAATTGGCTAATGGCAAAGATGTTAACGTGCAGCTTTTAATTGTGGTTGTTGGGTGATAATAAGGGGAGTGAGATAGGTCAACTGTGGATTTCACTTTTTTATATTTTCTTTTCTGCCCTCTAACACTACGGTCCCTGCCTTCCTGTGGTTGAAACTTCTTGACCTGGAGTGATAAGCGTATCGTTCCATATCAGCTTGGTACCCGCAAGTCCCACACCTCAAACAAAAAGAATAAATTACAATTTCCCGTGCCATGCCCATTTACAGTTTTAAAAATAAGAAGGCCTCCAGACGGAAGCAGAGAGGATCGAGCACGAGGTGAGTGCACCTGCCAGCAAGACCCGTCCAGGCGGCGAGTATCAGGTTACCAGGTAATAAGGCTCGAGCACTCACTAGCTAATCACTTATGCAAAAAAAATCAACAATCTCTCCGCAGCAGTCTTTTCCTCTCCCTCGAATTGCCCTTGCACCCGCGCTTACTCGCCGGAAATCACTCGCCGCCCCCTTTCCCTCGCACTGAACATGGAAAAAGACCGAGCCGAGAATGTCACCCATAAAGTCTCGGCCGCCACAACGGCCCCTGAGGGCAGGGCAGACTTTGGAGCTACAGATGACTATCACGTCGCGAGACAATGGCTGGACCACTTCGGGACGGTTGCCCCTCCATTTACACTCCATATGAGGATCGCGAGGAGATGCCACGGCAGGAGGGTCATCGTCACCCTCGCGCTCGCCGGCCCGCCTTTCATGCGCTTATGGGCCCGACTTTTGCGTACTGCTTTCCTGGACTGATGGCGCTGCTGTTTCGTGTTTATGTCTTCTTTACCGGTTGGGCAACGAGTGCTGGAAAACGCAGTTAACCGAGATGGTGACATTGTAACTATGAATGGACAAATGTAAGTAACAGAAAACAAAGGCACAAGGAGTGAAAAAAAACGAAAGATAGAAGAAGCTGTGAAAGACAAGAAAAGAGAGTTAACTCATTCGACATTAAAAAAAAACAGACTATAACCCCCAAACTAAACTAATATGAAAAAAAATAAAAGCAGTAGTAAACACAAAGCCGACACAGCGCATTATGCAAATACCTCCAATAGGTGCGTGCGAAGAACTCATGTTAAGTAGCAGCGAAACGGCTTACCGAAGATCTTCATGGCGAGATAAGCGGCGGAACGGTTGCTATCGAAGTGGGCAAGGGGCGCCAGGGTGAAGAGGGGCGATGATAAGAGAGATAGGCGAATGAATGAGTCACGAGTAGGAGAGAGAAAGGACAGCGAGGGAAGAGAGGTGTGACGTAACAAGGTAACAGCTATTCAGAAAGAGAGATGAACGCGATATCCTGTACCTGTCTTGGTTTGTTGTAAGCAAGCATTAACGGAAAAAAAATATTTACATGATAATATATGGGTTTTTTAAGAGAGTGTGTTGAAGTACATATATCAACTGAACGTGTAGGAAAGTAGTTTATAAAATGATTCACTTGTGATTCATTATGCTTCGATTATCAGCATCTCAAAGGCCCTACTGTTCAAGTTCCATCTCCCACAGTCAAAGCTCTGGGGGAAGCAATAAGTCTTAAACAGCATAAACAGCGTGTAATGTTGATGGTGTGTGGGCGGGGTCACGTAGGGTCATCCCCTCCATCGATCATATGTTGCTTGTGTGTTAATGTGATAAAAGAGGCATCTCTGGATTGCATGAGTTTTAACAATGAAGTCAAGGGAGAAAAATACGTAAATGTAAACATACAGATATACATATACGAGTAAACACATACGCCAATACAATTATTCGCTGTCTATCGCCCCACCCCCCTCTCTCTCTCTCTCTCTCTCTCTCTCTCTCTCTCTCTCTCTCTCTCTCTCTCTCTCTCTCTCTCTCTCTCTCCTATCGCCCCCCCCGTCTCTCTCTCTCTCTCTCTCTCTCTCTCTCTCTCTCTCTCTCTCTCTCTCTCTCTCCCTTCCTGAATATGACAGCGTCTGGTCAGCGTCATAATGACGTTCCTTTCGGCAGGAGAGAGCACCTCCCAGCCATGCCTCCCTCACAACCATTCAAGATATTATCACCGAACATTAATAACGTCTCTAATTCCATCTCCGGCCCGCCTCCCTGACCCGGCAGAGTCATGGCGGATTTTTTTCGTTCCTCTTTTTTTCCGCGTCTAGCCAACCGTCTCCGTCTAAACTAATGGACGTCGAGAAAATCGCAGAGGGAGGGTTCTTTTCGAAAGGTATTTTCCCATACATTTCACCTCCCTCTTTTTTCTTCTTCCGCGATGCAAAAAAAATATTCCATTTGCGACTGGAATTCTGTCTGTCGGCGCCAAGGATAAGCCTACAGTTTCCATGCATGCAAAAAAGGGCTAAGAGGGATCATATTCCTCTAAGCTATCGTTGGTAACCCTGACTCCGGGCCCGGAGCGCATCGCTGGCAACCCTGCCAGAGGTCTGAAAGGTCACCACGTGATTCATCAGACGACTGACCCCCATTTATTTCGCCTTTTGTTTTGATGACTTAACCCCCTGGGTCCTTCGCGTCTTGGAAGAGGAAGGGGACAAAAACAAGTTTATTAAGGAGGCAGGAGATAGAAAACGATAAGAGACGTAGGTGATACTTTACCATATTCGTTACCGGACGCTGACGCGGTTGCTTGGAAATGACTCCACATAACTACAGGCGGCAAGAGCAGGCGCCGATATACGTTAACGGTCGCACTTGCATAACGTTCCTCGCATCCCGGGCATATTTTCTCTCCGCTCGCCTCAGCTCCTCCTCGGACGTGACCCATCCGTGCCCACCTAATCTCTGACCGTCCGCTCCGCAAAATATATCATCACGACGGACACATTCCTCGTCACACTTCACAACCTGAAGTCATTTCGCAAAACAGCACGTTCTTGGCCACAACACTAAAATCATGAAAATAATCACAATGATCACTCTTCTCACTAATATTTGAAAGAAATCCACAACGAATGCGATTATTTTCTTTTCGCGCCACTAGAATCACCAGCTCACCAGACAGACCGACTTGAGAGTGACCCCTCCTCACCTCCTCACTTCCCCGACCACACTGGCTAGATATGATAATTACTTGGTCCCGCTCGTCACACACATACGCACCCTTAAAGAAGTCCCGAGTCTCCTCCCGTTGCCATGGTTACGGCAATGGGTTAATGAAAGGGTGGTTTGTTGCCTCTTTTGTTTCCCCGAAGTTTGTGTTCTTGGCCGTCTCTTGGTTCCCGTCTGGCTCGCGGGGTCAAGGCGGTGCACGCTAATGGAGGGGTTTCTCCCTTATCCTTAGAGGGTTTTACAGTCATAATGGAGAGTGCACGAACGTGAAAAGACTTTCTAAAAAAGGGAGTGTTTTAAGCCTAAGTGGTGAAGGCAGTTGCGCCATTGTCCTAGAGGAACCACTTAATTATGAAAAGAATGATTAGCCAGGGTCAGGCTGGTCACACATCCACACGGGGGGGAGAGACGAGGAAAGTCGGCTGGACAACCAACACGCGCCTCAACATTATTCTCCGTGATTTATGGCACGTAAAGGAGAAAGTTGAACAAACAATAACAGCCACCTCGCCTTCCCAAAAACGAAATATCATATTTCAACATAGCAACAACGCAAGATTTTCTGACAATGTTGGGGAAAAAAATGTGTCGGCATTCCGAACAAGTTCTCCTGTCAACGTTATGTACCGCTTATGCTCTTTCGAAATACCCGGAGGAATGATAAGCATCGGGTGTGTGTCCAGCGTCACCAAGAATGTCCGCGATGAGCACGAACAAATGCTTCCGTAATACTCTCGCGTTGATTGTAAATCTCTTTCTGACACCCGTGTGGCACCTACATCGCTCGACCCAACTTTTTCAAGTACCTCAGGTTTCAAACGGACTAGCCGGGAGGTTCAGGAAATACTGTGTACAGACGGAAAGGAATGTGTGTGTGTGTGACTGTGTGTGTGTGTGTGCGTGTGTGTGTGTGTGTGTGTGTGTGTGTGTGTGTGTGTGTGTGTGTGTGTGTGTGTGTGTGTGTGTGTGTGTGTGTGTGTGTGTGTGTGTGTGTGTGTGTGTGAACCGTGAGTACGTGCGTGCGTGTACGTGTGTGCACAGGTGTTTATGTGTGTATCTGTTACTTTTGAAAAGACAAGACGTTACCTTGTCCAGGAGGTGGTAGCATCTCGCAGTGTCCTCGAGGCGGTCGCGGGTGTGGTGGAGGCGCTCGGTGAACTGTGTCAGGTGGAGGTGGAGCGCCCTTGCCAGCTCCCTGACGCTGGGCTCCGTCTCGGCCGAGGGCGCCGCCGCCTCCTGCAGTAGGGACCCGCCCTTCTCCAGGTGCCGCTGTGGGGAGAGTGGGAAAATAAGTATTAGCTGGCGTTTTGTGCGGCCACGAGAGTAGTCACGTTCCCCTTCAGACTTAAACAAACATGTTAAGGATTATAATAACATCCACGTGCGTTAAAATGAAAATTAATTCACGCTATTATGCGACATAATCTTTGAAAATGCTTAGAAAACGCAAACACAACCATCGTTTCACATCATACCATCCCAATCACCCAACTACAAAAAAGAAAAGAATGAAAAAAAAGAAAAGAAAATAATAATAATAAAAAATAAAATCAAGTGATCTGAGCAGAACATCGATAAATCAGCCACATGTCCACGCTAAGAGGCTGCACCTAACGGAATTACATTTCACACCACTTTGATAACATCGGAAAAACCGTTAAATTAACAGTACCACGTGACTGCCTGTGTCCGGCCGGCGGGCGGGGAGCCTGGGTAGTGAAAGAAGGGTAAAAGCCATACCCATTCGCAGTGTTGCTTGCTAGGGGGGACTGGGGAAGGGGGATCCTCATAAAAAAGTTCAATGATGATGCATCAGTAAACAAGCCCTGTATTCAGGCTCTCCCTCCCGCCCTCGCCCACCTCGACTCCTCACCGCGGCCATCATGACACACAACATGCTCTTTATTATGCAACATCCTGGATTCCTACTGAAGCCAGACATCTCATGGTGTGACCGATGTATATGCTGTCTCCAAGCGCTTGTGCTTGTTAAGAAAAGCTTGTTAGAAGACACGCATGCACCGATAATCACCTGCTACTCAATGAGTGGCTTAGTCCGCACGGCACAGCGATGAATCAAAAGGTAAACAAGGTACTGACATACGCACACAAACGTCTTATATAAGAGGAACACGGGTGGCCTGTATCTTGACCATTAAGGATGTTGTTGTAGCGGTTAGGGTGTTTGCTGGCCTAGTTGTAGTGGGTTGTGGAATGGTGTTGACTGGGCACACACCTTACCCTTACAAGCACCATCACTGTAGAGGATGACATGGTGTACAGTACGTAAAAAGAATTGTTGAATAGACATCCACATACTAACACGGACGGCCAGACGCACGCAAATGTGTATAAAAGAAGTTTAAAATCAATAGCATCATTTGCATCTTCACATAGGACCACACATATTATATACTTATATACTTCATAAACAAACGAAAGTAATAATGACTGCAAAAATATCAGAAATAAACACACAACTGGAAAATCTGAATGGACAAGTGACTGCTCTACAAAAGGGCAATTCAAAACTGGGAGAGATTTCCGGCAAAGATTAGCCAAGCGGTTATCGCACTTTACATCATCCATCAACAACTCCCATCACCCGAACCAGCGGGGAAATCACCTGGAGGTCCAAAAACTGACCCCTCACGCGACCTGACATGACCTCATCACTTGTTTCACCATAACAGCGCGTGGGAGTGTAATACTCATTCTTACATTAATTAAGAGACCCTGGAGGATGAGGGGTGTCGGGGAAGGGGGGGTGAGGATGACGGGTGGAAGGGGGTATGAGGGGAGGGGGGCTGAGACACTCATCATCTTGTGTTATGAGTTGTCCCTCATCCCGAGCCGCCCTCACCGCAAGACGTAACTTTCTCGGCATCTCTCGATGGGGTCGCCGCCGGGGGTAACCGATCGCGGGGAAAGTTCTGCGAGCATGCATAATTGGGGGAATTACGCGCTCTTACGGATAACTCTTTCGCGAGTGATCTCCAGCCGCATCCCCCCCCTCCCCCGTGAGTTGCTTATTAATCTTGGGCCCAAGTCCTGAATAAATCCTGACAGAACATTGAACACATGATCCAGTGACAAGTTAATTCTTGACAGTAAAATAAACTCATACACTAACTTCGATTACGCTCGTTTCCCCTCCTCTAAAATGCACATGCAGGGTTAAATCTCCCCTTGCCCTCGGGACGTTTGAGGGACAAGGGGAGGCAAAGGGCGGGGATATTCTCGCTTGGCTTTAATTAATTATCAGGCCAATTATGAAGAATCGTATGATGCGTAATAATTGATGACCTCACATACGCGTTAATTATTGCCGCGTTAGCGAATGCGATCAAACTGACATGAAAGGAAATTTTCTTTATGATGTCATTATTTTGATTTTATTCTTCACATTGGTCATAATTTTCACATTTGTTCTACTGCGACAGAAACCAAGGAATATAATGCTACTCTTCCATGCTGGTCATATAAGGCTTAAACTTGCTTACAAATAATGACAACATTTCCTTTGGTCCCGTTGGCCACCTTCACTACGTAGTTCAACCATAACCCCCGCACCAGGCAGCTGCTGACAAAATATTGATTTGGCCGCCGCCGGTTCTCTCATCCTCAATTCCACCACGGCGTCGGTCCTCTTCGCCTGCACTCCGTCGAATAAATCACAAGAGGGTCTGTCACGCCCCTTGGTAAAGGAATCGGCGCGGGGTTCTTCTCCCTCCGCCCGTTGCTGCTGCCTGGCCCCGCGTCTCGCTCATTCAACAAGCCGCAGCAGGCTCGAAAGCAGCTTATGGTAGAAGGACTAAGCTCTACCTGTTTTTCTTTTTCAATAGTAACTGAAAAAGCTTAGCGTGTGTACAGTTCATGTCGGTGAGAGAGGAGAGAGCGAGAAGAAAAGGAAGTGTTGAAGGGGGAAATTAAGGGGGAAATGAGATAGATGAACAGGAAGAGAGAGAGAGAGGGAGACACAGAGATATTGGTGTATATATTACATTTATATATAGATAGATAAAGAGGGAGGGAGGGAGGGAGAGAGAGAGAGAGAGAGAGAGAGAGAGAGAGAGAGAGAGAGAGAGAGAGAGAGAGAGAGAGAGAGAGAGAGAGAGAGAGGGGGGGGAGGGGGGGGAGAGAGAGAGAGAGAGGGGGGGAGGGGGGAGAGAGAGAGAGAGAGAGAGAGAGAGAGAGAGAGAGAGAGAGAGAGAGAGAGAGAGAGAGAGAGAGAGAGAGAGAGAGAGAGAGGGAGAGGGAGAGAGAGAGAGAGAGAGAGAGAGAGAGAGAGAGAGAGAGAGAGAGAGAGAGAGAGAGAGAGAGAGGGAGAGGGAGAGGGAGAGAGAGAGAGATGGGGGGGGGAGAGGGGGAGAGAGAGGGAGAGAGAGGGAGAGAGAGGGAGAGAGAGAGAGAGGGAGAGAGAGAGAGAGAGAGAGAGAGAGAGAGAGAGAGAGAGAGAGAGAGAGAGAGAGAGAGAGAGAGAGAGAGAGAGAGAGAGAGAGAGAGATAGAGAGAGTGAGAGAGAAAGAGAAAGGGAATCACCCTATCTTTGGCGGGACGAGGAGCGCCATCTGCCTAGATACGTCGAATGAAAACCATCCTGTTTTTACAAGTTAAATGATAACCGCGTAAAGCTCGGATCAGCTGCGTCAACAAATGTATTCCGGAATGAATACATTAAAGGAATGCTATGCTCTACTTCGTCGCGATAAAGAATTGAGATTCTATTCTTTCTTTTTTACGTAGTGTTCAAATAATGAATGCTGAAACTGTATTGTATGCACATATCCCAAGGTTGAAATAAGTGAAACCAGCTAATACTAGGAACTTGTGGACTAGACCTAAGATCACAGCAATGCATTTCTTAAAATGTAAAATAGTGTCTCCTAAAAAAATGAAAAGAAATACATTTAAAACACATTCTGAACACCTGTTGAATAGCTGGGATAAGTGGATGAATATGAACGCCACTCGAACGCGTTTGCAAGCAGAGTGGAAAAGAACCTTCTTTAAACATCCCTGACATTCAATGACTTATCTCGAAGAGAATTACTGTGCGCTAATCCCCGATGTGAATCTGATAGCGGTTCTTGAAGCCAATTAAATCAAGATCCTTGCGAATATTTTATCGCTATTTGACATGGTTTGATCAGCGGAAATACCACTGCGCTCACGGCAAAGACATGCCACAACTGTTGCTTAAATTCAAGTAGGATTCTTATCAAAACAAAAACAAAGAAACAGATTAACACCAAAACTGTTATTTACTTCGGGAAATATCAAGCCTCCAATGTGAAGGAACCTCTCCCATAAAAAAGAAAACGGAGGCCTACATTATCATTCGTCCATGAAAACGTATCTGATCGAGCTTCAACTCGCAAACCAAATTAGGGAGCGGAGAACGACTACCTCCTCCTCTCCGTCTTCCTCTTCTTCCTTCTTCTGCTCTCTCTCTCCTCTCTTCTGTATCACCCTACTTCTGTTGTTATTCTTCAGCCTTCCTCTATTTTTCGTTTCGTTTCCTCTTACTTTTGCTTTCTTCCTTCTGCTATTCCCCCCTCCTTCTTTCTGCCATCTCTTCCTCTTCTCTTTCCCTTCGCCTTTCTGATTCCATCCCCTTCCTTTGTCCTTTCTTCCTCTCCTTCCTGCTTCACCTCTCCCCACTCCTTCTTCCTTCCTATTATTCCCTCTTTACCCTTCCCTCCTCCTCTCCCTTCCCTCTTTCCCTTACCTCTCGTCACCCCCCTTTCCATCCCACTCCCCCCTTCCCACCCCCTTTTCCTACACCCCCTCCCCCTTCCCCTTCCGACACCGCTATCGCCCCCCGGGACCTCCACTCAGGATTCAGAGAAGGAAATCCTCGCGTCTCATCGTCGTGCATTCAGGATGAGACGCCGCCAACCTCTCAAATCTTCCTTAGAAGGTTAGCGACGTCTACATGTCTGACCGCTCAGCCATTTTGAGGTTTGTGTCTTGTAAAAAAGGAAAAGAAAAAGAAAGAAAAAACGAAATAAATATTCGATGTGCAAAAGAACACCGGGTCATGTGCGTTCGGTGATTGCAAATAGTATCGAGGAATAAAGAAGGAATTATAATAGGTGCCGCCACACAAAGGAAACAAGTGAAGAACGCCAGAGCGCATTCGTACGTTCATTTTGCATCGCTCCTGCTTGTGCAATGCCGTGATGTAATATTGAAAGGACGCTAGATGTTGAAACAATGGCTGATGTGTTTTACAGGAAGTTGCTGGCCTTATTGTCGTTTGCGGA